CCCTTGACCCACGTGAAAATGAAAAATTTTTTTTCCCCATTCCTGTCACCTCCGAGGGTTTCATTGGCATCAGGGGGTCAATAAATACAGAATCAACGTTCACTATTTTTTATTTAAACACCGCCTGCAAACGGGGAGATGAGGGTGGCTAAAATATATTCTGCAACCCTGTCTCCTCGTTGGCTACAAATTTCAACCCTCCGCATACATGCCTTCCCCTTCACCCGCTCGTAAAATCACGCGTTCTCGGTAGCATCGAGGAGGACTTCTCAGGACCGAAAAGAACTGAGGATTCGAATGGTCTCTAGAAAAGTACGTCGCAGAAGTGATTAGGACTTACCAGGTCCATCTAGGTCTGGAGAGATCTTGAAAGACCTGTGTACGTCCAATCAGAACCAAATCCTCGACTCGGGTTCTCAATATTTGGAACACGCTTTTTTTCAGAATAAAAAACGACCTCATCTTTCTACAAAATAATAGATTCTACATAGAAGTGGGCGAATGAAAAAAGTTTTGCATGAATGGGTAATAAACGGTGCGTGAAAACTTGCTTACGCTTCTTGCCAATCATCGGGGATACATCGATACCTTTCCCAGCTTGATTAAATCCTGTTTGATCGGAAAATACCTCTGCCCACATATTCGATTAAACGGATTTTTTTACTTTGTAAAGCGAGTGGAATTTCCGAAATTGGAGCAGTGGAAGTACTGAGTTCCTGAAACTGGAGTTGTTCCCCCATGCAAAACCAAAAATTTGACCCTTTGAAAATCTGAAAAAAAAAAAATTTCAGTTTTCACTTTTTCCACATACTTTTGAGAGTTCTGAATAGCCCGTCGCTTAAATAGTTGGAATCAAGGTTCACCCGGCTAAAAATTTCGATTTTGGCGAAAGTCGACTTTCCCCCTGGAAAAATCTAACACTTGGCCAACACTTTGGCTCTCGTGACCCTTGTGACCCTTTGACCGACTTTCCCCTTGAAAAAATCCAAGATCTGACCCATTGGCTCCGGGTGAAAATGTTTTTTTTTTTCATTTTTCACTTCTTCCACATATTTTTGAGTGTCCTGAACAGCCCGTCGCTTAAATAATTGGAATCAACGTTCCTCGGCTAAAAATTTCGATTTTGGCGAAAGTCGACTTTCCCCCGGGGAAAACGGAAAATCTGACCCTTTGAGAATCTGAAAAAAAAAACTTTTTCAGTTTTCACTTTTTCCACATACTTTTGACAGTTCTGAATAGCCCGTCGCTTAAATAATTGCAATCAACGTTCCTCGGCTAAAAATTTCGATTTTGGCGAAAGTCGACTTTCCCCCGGGGAAAACGGAAAATCTGACCCTTTGAGAATCTGAAAAAAAAAACTTTTTCAGTTGTCCCTTTTTCCACATACTTTTGACAGTTCTGAATAGCCCGTCGCTTAAATAATTGCAATCAACGTTCCTCGGCTAAAAATTTCGATTTTGGCGAAAGTCGACTTTCCCCCGGGGAAAACGGAAAATCTGACCCTTTGAGAATCTGAAAAAAAAAACTTTTTCAGTTGTCCCTTTTTCCACATACTTTTGACAGTTCTGAATAGCCCGTCGCTTAAATAATTGCAATCAACGTTCCTCGGCTAAAAATTTCGATTTTGGCGAAAGTCGACTTTCCCCCGGGGAAAACGGAAAATCTGACCCTTTGAGAATCTGAAAAAAAAAACTTTTTCAGTTGTCCCTTTTTCCACATACTTTTGACAGTTCTGAATAGCCCGTCGCTTAAATAATTGCAATCAACGTTCCTCGGCTAAAAATTTCGATTTTGGCGAAAGTCGACTTTCCCCCGGGGAAAACGGAAAATCTGACCCTTTGAGAATCTGAAAAAAAAAACTTTTTCAGTTGTCCCTTTTTCCACATACTTTTGACAGTTCTGAATAGCCCGTCGCTTAAATAATTGGAATCAACGTTCACCCGGCTAAAAAGTTCGATTTTGGCGAAAGTCGAATTTCCCCCTGGCAAAACCGAAAATCTGACCCTTTGAAAATCGGAAAAAAAAAACTTTTTCAGTTGTCACTTTTTCCACATACTTTTGAGAGTTCTGAATAGCCTGTCGCTTAAATAGTTGGAATCAAGGTTCACCCGGCTAAAAAATTCGATTTTGGCGAAAGTCGACTTTCCCCCTGGCAAAACCGAAAATCTGACCTTTTGAAAATCTGAAAAAAAAAACTTTTTCAGTTGTCACTTTTTCCACATACTTTTGAGAGTTCTGAATAGCCCGTCGCTTAAATAGTTGGAATCAACGTTCACCCGGCTAAAAAATTCGATTTTGGCGAAAGTCGACTTTCCCCCTGGCAAAACCGAAAATCTGACCTTTTGAAAATCTGAAAAAAAAAAACTTTTTCAGTTGTCACTTTTTCCACATACTTTTGAGAGTTCTGAATAGCCCGTCGCTTAAATAATTGGAATCAACGTTCACCCGGCTAAAAAGTTCGATTTTGGCGAAAGTCGACTTTCCCCCTGGAAAAATCGGAAAATCTGACCCTTTGGCTCAGATGACTCAGATGGCTCTTGGGTGAAAAAAAAAATTTTTATTTAGGCAATTGTCGCGCCTCCGGGGGTTTCATTGGCATCAGCATCCTTAGAAAATACAGAATCAACCTTCACTTGGCGAAAAAATTCAATCTTGGCGAAAGTCGACTTTCACCCTGCTGACCCTTGATCCACGTGAAAATGAAAAATTTTTTTTCGTCTTTTCTGTCACCTCCGAGGGTTTCATTGGCATCAGGGAACCGATAAATACAGAATCAAAGTTCACTATTTTTATTTAAACACCGCCTGCAAACGGGGAGATGAGGGTGGCTAAAATATATTCTGCAACTGTCTCCTGGTTGGCTACAAATTTCAACCCTCCGCATACATCCCTTCCCCTCCGCCGTGAAATCCCTCGTGAAATCCCGCGTACTCGGTAGCATAGAGGAGGACTTCTCAGGACCGAAAAGAACTGCGGATTCAAAAGGTCTCCGGAAAAGTGCGTCGCAGAACTGATTAGGACTTACCAGGTTAATCTAGGTCTGGAGAGATCTTGAAAGACCTGTGTACGTCCAATCAGAACCAAATCCTCGACTCGGGTCACTGTTACAATCCCACTACTAGCCGAAGCGTGCGATGCTGCCCGATCAAAATTCGACTGTTACCACTGCAGTCACAAGTCCTCCATTATTTATGAACATTCTCTTTAATTATGGTTTTTGAGACCGGAAAACTACGCCATAACACTTCTAATTTGATGAGAAAAAAGTAATTTGTAACATGAATGATTTATTTAGTTAATTTTATTTTTCTTTTCAACTCAGTTATTCACTCGATACTTTAATGTCCAAGGCGGGCACTTAACCTTCGGTGAAATGGGGAAGTTCAGGATTTAGATGACCCAAGCATCAAGCCCGAAACTCCGTGGTTCTTTGTTTCTCCCGTTATTTCCACTTGCCTAAAAGTAATATCTACAAAACTTCGCGTTAATGTCTTTCTTCCCCGCATTTATTTTATCCTTCTGTTGTCTCCAGATGGAGGTGTTGTTGGTGGATCGCGTGCAGGACCAGTGGTAACACCTCACACACTGGAGCTAACGCCGAGAGGTAGAGTGACGCTACAGCTGGCACCACCGGAAACAGCCCGAGCATATTTACCACCCGAATACAGGCCTGGTCGCATGTACTCGGATACAGACTCAGAGAAGGTATTTAACAAAATACAAAGCACGATATTTTATTACAGAGATAAAAAAGAGACTCAACAAAAATAGAACGTGGCAGTAAAAAATCGTTGCTTCCTGTTGGAACAGCCGCCATTTTCCAGCTCGTTTAGCGAACGAACTTGCCCAAGTCGAGACGATAAATCCCAAAGAGATGTCGATTTTGTAATAAACCATATGCGTTAACGCTGAATTATTCTCCATACGAAGATAGAAGTTCTATGTCCGCGATCCCTTATCAACAGTTTTAATCCTCTGGGGATTGGACTTTTGATACTTCATACCGTTTGACAATATTAATTCAGCAAATCCTCCGTGGAAATGAAGGTTTTTCAATTTCTTTGTCGTAATTTAAAACTCTTTAGAAAAATATCACCCGCGTCCAGCCTGAGAAGCCAAGTTTTTTCGACTTGTTGGAAAAACGGCTATTTTCCAGCTCGTTTGGCGAACGAACTTGCCCAAGTCGAGACAATAAATCCTAAAGAATAAGAATAAAGAATTATTCTACATACGAAGATAGAAGTACCGATGTCCGCGATCTCTTATAGACCCTCGATTTTTTTTTTGTTTAACAATGTTTTTATTTGATGTCCAACAATATTTACATACGGTATTTACATATAAGGAAAAGCACTCTTGAAAAAAAATTATAATGAGAAATATTTTTGCTTGGTATATAAACTTTGGTCAAGTAATATTGACTCTCGAGCTTATTAAGTATTTTGTTGGACGTATTATGTGTGTATAACCGTGTATCATTTTATACTTTTAATTTTTCGAATTATTTTCATTTTTTTGGGTTTGTGTGTTTAAAAAAAGCAAAGAGTTGCTTTACATAGACATGGAAAAAAAGCCCTTCAGTAATCGGTAGGAGTTATTATTTTTCATATTAACTTATATTATTAGTGATTTTTATTGTTATTTAGAAATCATTTTAATATTAATTATGCTTCTATATAATTCTGTAAGTTAAAACAATATTATATAATACTGAATTATAATTTTTTTATTAACCCTCGATCACTCGCGGTGGGTCGCCAGCCTTCATCCATCGCATGGATAGCGCAGCGCCGCTGGGTTAAACCGAGCGCGCTGTTGCCACGTTGACGCTTACCGCTATGTGCGCATTTCAAGTGTGACAGTAAATGTAGCAACACTGCCGCTCGAGCGGTCGACTGAAACTCACGTGCAATGGGCGGCGCGACGTCGCTTTTCTGTCCGTTCGACGTTTCTTTTTTTTTAGCTAAACAAATTTTTCGAGAATAAAATGGCCAACGCTAATACTTAATAAGAGGATTGAACTAGAAACTCGAATTTTTTCAGCATTGTTAAGCGTCGAAAAACACGCTAAAGGAGATTTCACAATAAACGCAACGCAGGCTTGACGCATCGCTTGTAATTATTGAAATAATCGAAAAACCGTTGAATGATTGGGTCAGCCAATTGCACGCGTCGCACTAATCCTTTGTTACACTTCATTGTGGAATCCTCTTAAAATATGTTTTTAAAACAAAAACGGGCGGTACCGTGCTCATTGAGCGAGTGATCGAGGGCTAACGATGCAGCTTTAATCCTCTGGGGACCGGACTTTGATGCTCCATACCCTTTAACAATATTGATTCAGCAAATCCTCCGTGGAAACGAAGGTTTTTCAATTTCTTTGTCGTAATTAAAAACTTTAGTAAAACATCACCCGCGTCCAGCCTGGGAAACACTGTTTTTCCGACCTGAATTTACTCTAGAAATACACAAATAAATGTGTACGTCCACGTGAAAAGGGCCCACTTTGTCGCATCTAGTTTCCGAGATATTACCGTTTTTCTCTCCACATCTCCCATTTAAATCAATGTTAAATTGCTTTTTTGATCGTCTATACTGACGTCATTTTTCATTCTATCGGGTTGATTTTGGGCTCAAAATGTGAGAAATCTGATCAAGATTATCGGAACATACATAACTCCAA